CTAAGGGTCCCAGAAAGACAGGATAAACAGCTGAAAAAGCGGCTTCGCATGGTTCTCTCTCTAGAGCCTTGACTGGGAGTTAAAGAGCCCACCCTGGTTTTGTACCTATAAGTTAAGCAACGATTAGGCAAAGGACCATTCATTATACCTAAGAAATCATGGGTCTCAAGATGACTACATTCAGGGCAAAGGGAGCCATGGTTCGATATGGGCCCCCCAAGCTTTCAGAAATGCTGTTGAGAGCAACAGCAGCATTTGATAGTTGCCTGCAAGACAATAAGATCTGAAGAGCAGTACTAACCTGTTCAGGTTTCACATGACAAAACATAGAAATCTTTTCCTTCACAGCCATTTCTATGGGTTTTGAACTTCTGCAGATAATCTGTCAAAGTCAAGGATGCACAGGTCAGCAAGCAGGCATCAAGCTTCGTGTACAGGAGGACACTAATTTCTTTGTACTGTAGGGGACTTGGCTAAGTATGCTCTTGCACACCCCAGGCATTCCTCTGGACTTTTGGAAACTAGTCTCTACACCTCTATCATTAAGTATCCTCAAATTCAACACCAATCTACCGGTAAGAACTTGAAATGTCAAGATGTCTCCAGTGAGCTCATAAACGCTGCTTCTTTAAACACATTAAGAGGGCTAGGCCAGGGGTCGGCATACTTTTTCTGTAAAGGGCCAGATAGGAAATATCTTAAGTGTTGGTGGGCCATGCAGTCTCTGTCTTGACTACTCAACTGTACTGTTTAAGCAAGGAAGCAGCCAGAGACAAAATGTAAACAAATAGCTGTGGCTGTGTACCAATAAAACTTTATGTACAAAAACAGGCAGCCACTCTGTTGAGGTTGTTGTTGTTGTTGTTATGTGCCATCGAGTAGGCCCCGACTCATAGCGACCCCTCCTTGGGTTTCCGAGGCAGTATCACTACGGAAGTAGATTGCGCCATCTTCCCTCCGTTGGGTGATGAAAAAATCTGTACATGACTGATAGTGATGGTTGCACTATATGCTGAACATAAATAACATCACTGTCTCGTACACATAAAAATGGGTGAAATGGCGATTGTTTTGTTATGTATATTCTACCACAATAGAAAAAAACAAAAAGTAGGCAACCAGTCTACAGGCTCCGTTTGCAGACCTCTGATCTAGACTGCTGGCAATAAATGGATTATCTGCTATAAGGAAATATCATTAATTGCACTGAAAAATACAAGCAGTGATACTCATCCTAGCAGGTTACAGGAAAATTTCCAAGGTCCCACCCTCACTCTAAAGGATACTGCATTTGCCTAACTGTTAATGTGGCCAAAGAAATGAGGGCCTGGAGAATAATCCATACAGTGAAGGCCCATATAGAAATGTGGGAACTCACATTTGAGGATAAGAAAATTAGCCTTCCCTGGCAGATTTTTAAAAAAGAATTTGAAAAAAAGCTCAATGTCATAGGAACCATTTTTGAGCTACGAAAGACTTAGATGACGTTATCGACTAAGAAATGGAGGTCCTATAAAGGATTATTCCAAGAGATGTTAGCAGCAAACTTACCCACTCTCCTTAACCTACCAAGTCTGGAGAGAGCCCTAGGCCTCGCAACGCACGGACACTGTTTTGCGTGGGTTTGGTTTTTTGTTCCCTGGTAGCGTTGGGCTGAAAAGAAACGTTAGCATTGGGTCATTGGACATCTGGCTCTTCTGGATAATGAATAGTTTCCTTTATTATTTCAAAATGTGAATTTAATAGAATATCCCAGGAAAATTTCTAAAAGTTGCTGTCCACATACTTATCTGGAAAGCCTACCTGTGGGACAAGGCTAACGTGGATATTACAGAAATTCTCCCTCTTGGCCTTAAACTGGAATTGTCTGAATGCTTCCACATATGGCATTCCTTCAATGTCTCCAATGGTGCCACCCAGCTGGGGGAAAAAAAAAATGATCAGATCATTCTCCATGGTACACAGACTAAGAAGGAAAACTGAATAAATTGAGCTTAATAACTAAAGTTTGCTGGTTACTTGAGAAGCAAAGTTTGTAAATATACTGAAAATCATTGAATTATACACTTAAAATGGATACAATTTATGGTCTATAAATAGTACCTCAATAAAGCTGTTAAAAATCTAAAAACAAAAGAGAGAGAGAAAGAGAGATGAAGCAAAAGGAAGAGAAAATGGAGACTAGAAAGTAAAGCATGACAAAAATTAAACAGTGACTAATAATAACAAAAAAAGAAAGCAAAATAAGGGAAAAGGGGTGCACTGTAACATAGACAAATGAGCAAGTAAGAGAGCAAAGCAAAGTACCAAGAAGGGAAAAGAAAGGGAGGTCAAAGAAGGTTTAAAGGAGAGAAATTCATAAGTGGATAGAAAGATCCAGAATATAAATCGCAGAGGAGCAAGAGAAGTTAATTTCTACCAGTCGGTACCAACTGGAAGGTAGAACTCAAATCTAGTGACAACATGAGAAAGGTGAGAGCCACCTGGTCCTGCTGGGCATGGAATAGTGGACATTCTCTCACTATCTGCACACAGAAACATGCATATGCATACACATGCATTTGAACAGTCTCCTTGCAATGTTGGCACTACTTGAAACAAATCGGTGTTACTAAAACATGTGTGCTTTCAGAAACAAATCATACCAAAGCCCCGTGAATACGCCATCTTATTTTCCTTATTAAATTCATGTTTTCTTAAATTCTTCCCAGCAGCTTGCTTATAGTCTTAAGCATGTAGTAGGTGCTCAAATGCGAGCCAATTAATTTTAAAATCCATGTGATAGCCTGTAAGTATGTATATATGATGAAGCTGAATGGGTTAAAGTGAATATTATCCTAGTCTAAAGTAAAATGCTTAAGTAACGTTACTGAAGGCAAATTGTAAAAACCAAACTCACTGCCGTCGAGTCGGATCTGACTCATAGTGACCCCTCCTTGGGTTTCCGAGGCGGTATCACTACGGAAGTAGATTGCCCAACCTTCCTTCCGAGGAGTGGCTGGTGGGTTTGAACCGCCAGCCTTCTGGCTAGCAGTCAAGTGCCTTAGGCACTATGCCACCAGAGTTCCCTGTGGATGTTGAGGAGGAAGAAATTGTGGCAGGTCCATTCACAGAATCCACCATCTCCTGTGGCTTCATCTACCTGATGGGTTTGAAATCTGCTTGTAACCTTGACCTCTTCCCACCTCCGTTGAACTCTGGAGGCAAATCATCACTGACAACTTGGATGGCTCAACAGTTACTCAAACTTAACGTGTCCCACACTGAACTCTTGGTTCCCCTGACCCCAGGGCCTGTTTTTCTTGGTGTTTCCTCATCTCCTCCCAGTGACAGACTCAAGCCAGAAGTCAGGAAATCACCCTCCATTTCCCCCTTTCCCTCCCCCACCCCAGTCCAGAGCTCTTGCAAAACCCCCCCACTGCTCTCTATCTCCACTGCTACCACCATAGACACTCAAGCCAACCTCATCTTTCACAATAATCTAAAACAAGAAGACAGCAAACGAGCTCACCACCTGGTTTTGCAAATGAGCTTTTATTGGCACACAGCCATGTCCATCAATTACATATTGTCTACAGCTGCATTCATGGCTATGATGGCACAGTTGTTCATAGTCGTGACAAAGCTCAATATATTTCCTATCTGGCCTTTTCCAGAAGTGTGCAGCCCCTGGTCTAAATAGCCTCCCAGCTTCCACTCGCTCCTGTCCTACAATCAAATCATTTGTCATATACCAGCAGAGTGACCTTTTCAAAACACAGAATACATCTCTCCCGTGCTCATACCCCTCACTGCCTCACCACTTCACTCAAAATAAAATCTAAACTCCTTTCCACAGCCAACAAGAGACCCTACATGACCTGGTTCTCACACACGTCCCTAATCCCATCTTGTGCCCCTTTACCCTGTTTTCTGTGCTTCAGCCTTGTGGCCTTTCTGTGCCTCAGATGAGCCAAGTTCCTCCTTCCCGGCCCCCACTTAAGCCCTCCTACCCTCCTCCTTCATGTACACCTGTCTCCTCTTGTCAGTCAGCCCAGGGGGACATTTGTCCCCCTCTGAACGCCTGACCCTGACCACCGCAGAATGCAGTTTCAATCCCATCCTCCCCATTGCAGGACCTGGCCATACGTCCTTGTTTCCTATCAATCTGCCCCACTAGGCAGGGAGCCCCATGAGGGCAGGAATGTTCCAGCACAAGCCCAGCGCCCTGTACCCAGTACTGAGCATTTAGGGTAACGGTCAGGACAGGAGAGAAAGGTCGCAAAATTCAATCTAAGCCCCAGGTGACAGGGTGGACAGTACCTGCTACAATCATTACAGCAGAGCCAACCCAGTCTCGGGGCTATGCTGCTGCAGAACAAATTATTGTTTACAAGACACAGTTAAATTGACGCTCCCTGGGTATGGAACAGGTTGAAATACATGATTGTTTTGTAAGAGAATGACGAACTTAAAGAAATCGAAGAATCAAAAAACGATCACAGGTAATCAGGATATTGGGGGGAGGAGTGTAAGAGTTCATTAACTACAATCCACCAGAATGTCATGAAAAAAAATTCTTAAAAGAAAAAAGAGGTCTGCACTTAAACAAGTGCAGACCTCTTTTGGGCAACATCTGTTTTCTGATGATGGTATCCTGGGAGTCCACAGAGAATCAGAGGCAGCGAAAACTTTAAACATTATCGGCTTCTGCCCTCCCATGGCTGTTTGTGGTACTGCACTCTCTCCAATTTGGTAGTTCCCATTACAGCTTACACCAGCCACTCCTCGGAAGGAAGGTTGGGCAATCCTACTTCCGTAGTGATACTGCCTCGGAAACCCAAGGAGGGGTCGCTATGAGTCGGGTTTGACTCGACGGCACATAACAACAACAACCACAACAACATTACAGCTTATCAGCTCCTCCGTAGGAACATTTCTGGCTCACTATTATGATCATTGTGCTCAGAATCTCTCAACACTGTCTGTCAAAAGGGTGTGAGAGAAGCCTCGTCTGACCTCCTCTAACTTCACAAGGGGTAGAGAGAATCGCCATCAGCATCAATAGCCCAAGGCTGAGTCCTATGAGGGCAGAAGTCAGACAGGCCAGCCACCCTCCAACCTTTTTATCAACTCTGATCTCAACCGTCCCTCCCAGAGAACTCTCTACTTCTCTGCTGGGCCCCATAATTTGTTGCAATGACCACAAAGAACTCACACACAGTACTCACGATGATGGAGTACATTAGGTAAGTAACAGGTCACAATTTAGGAGCAGAAACAACTCAGGATACGGTTCCTCAATCAGGACAGCTTCCTCTCAGCCGTGTCACAGGCATGTTTAACTCTGGCCCCAGCCTCTCAGCCCTGCAGCCCCTTGTCCTCTGCCCTGTTCAGAAAGGTACCCCACTCCACCAGCAAGCTTTCTTTCTCTGTGGGCCAGGAAGCCCCCTGCTCTGTCTCCTGCCAGTCCCTTGGTTCCACTGCCTCTGCTGCCGTGGTTTCTCCGCTGCTGCTTCTCACTGTCTCAGCACAGGGATCTCAAGTCCAAGGGTGTACTCCACTCCTGCCACTTCTTTCTTGATAGTAGTGAGATTCCCCCTTTCTGCCTCTGAGAGGCCTCATTTTAAGCCTAGGAGGATGGCAAAACTGATCAATCCCCGCGTTAGGGTTCCATACACCTTATTTGCATGGTCCCACCCCCACAAGCGTGCCATGGACCTTATTCACATTATTAGTAAACTAGCCAATCCCCTTGGTGGGCCACAAGCGTCTCACATTTGCATAGTTCCACCCAGTCATCTGGCGGGTGCCACAAAGACCATGGCTAAAAGAGCCACAGCAAGTAATTCACTGCACCACAAGTCCTAAGTTAGTCCGTTCCTCACATAACAAGGAAAACTGAACCCATAAGAACATTTTAAGATCTATCCGAAGCTGAAATTAAAGCATCAGCAAATTACAGGATACGCAAAGTCGGTTTTGCCTTTAAAGAAAGGAGTCTTTATGCAATTAAAAAAGAGAGAGAAAGTTTATATCCCTTTAAGTCAAGGAGCTTTGGTAGCAGAGTGCCTAAGCATTTGACTGCTAACCAGAAGGCTGGCGGTTCAAACCCACCAGTCACTCCTCGGAAGAAAGATTGGGCAATCTACTTCCATAGTGATACTGCCTTGGAAACCCAAGGAGGGGTTGCTATGAGCCGGGACCAACTCGGTGGCAGTGAGTTTGTTTTCTGTGGTTTTTAACTCTGGCCTGGAGTCTGTGGGTAGGACAAACGCTCTCCAACCCGGGCATCTTGCCTGACTCCCCAGTCCCTGAGCCTGCCCTGATCGCTCTTCTGAGCCTGTCATGGAAATCCGTGCTCCTTGCTATTGAAACATGAGGAAAATTTGGCTGGGGGGTTCCGAAGGGCATTTCTTAGATCCCAACACAGGATCTCTGGGTGGTTCAAACAGTTAACACACTCGGCCACTAACTGAAAGACTGGCGATTCAAGTCCATTCAAAGGCCCCTCATGAGAGAGGCCTGGCTATCTACTTCAGAGCAGCCATTGAAACCCTGTGGAGCTCAGTTGTAGTCTGACATGCATGGAGTCACCATGAGTTGGAATTGACTCAACAGCAACTGGTGGTGGTTGTTGTTTTAAAGCCAGGCTTGAACCATTTCAAGTTTGTGCTTAGCTAACCTAATGAATAAAGCCTGCCAGTGCCACTGGACTGAGAAGTGGCACTCTCACACCCACATAAAAGGCTTTAGAGACACTTCAACAGCATTTATGTGCTTAAAACAAAACAAAACAAAAATCCACTTTGATGGTCCTTCTTCAAAAGCTTAAAACATGGACAAACACAGCTGATGAACACAATTTAAACGAATCCAAAGGATCTCTGACTTAGCATCCAATAGGCAACTGTAAACATCAGGGTTATATGGAGAAGAGG